AACATATGGCATCTTAAAAACTAACTTAACGCAATAGAAAATTAAGTGCCCCGTTGTTAAAACCTTTGACCTTTTCTTAGTGACGTGTGTAACTAATCAGCCCCTGGAGGTCAACAAGCAGGGAGTAATGACAGGGAACGTGATGGGCAATCAAATGAGAGTAAGAAAAAATCAGAGCAGAAAAAATCATTCCAACTGATCCAAGGTCCCCTTCATGTCCTTCCAGGGAAACATGGCCTTCATGTTCTAAGACATCAGAAATGAACAGATGCCCTTGCCTTTCTTTGATCTGAACAATGAGTCCCCCTCACCCATCAGAAACCTCACTCCACCCCTCCACACAAACCTGTCACGGAGGTAATGAACTTAAGAGGAGAAATCCACACAAATGGGAGAAGACAGCCACCATTCCCATCCAGCCCCCACAACCATTATGAAATTACTTAAATGTGAATGGCAGATCAAACCGAAATGTGCCTCTCTTTGAAAAAAACGAGGAGGTGAATGGCAGATGTCCCTATGAGAATTTCCTGTTACTCTGAATTATCAGCCATGTATGAATATAAACTATGTATGGTTATACTACATACATTCCTAAGGGCACACACATATACATGTATAGGTTTCTCCGCTCTGTCCATATCTGTTAGGTTTCGGAGACGGTCAAGAAGCCCTTGTCCTCCACTACTGGAGGAACACAAACGTTTTCTACCCTTAAATGAGGTCTCTGATACACAGCAGGAAGAGCATACATCCTTTCTACTTCAACCGCGGACAGAGCTCTCATAAATAACACAGAATACAAACAATGACGAAGCTAGAAAATTTTACATCTAAATGCTCATTTTTAAAACAAAATCAAAGCAAGGAGAATATTTGTTTCCCCAAACCCCAAATCTCACCTCTGGACTTTGATGAAGTTTCAACCAAATAATATTAAAGCCACAGTCCAACACAGGGAGGAGAGTGTCAGATCCGTCCTGCCTTTTTATTGTTTTTTATCTTTAATAATGATTTTTACATAGAATATGTTCAATGGGAAATAATTAAAACATTATGTAAATATCCAGTAAATAAATTTTTACTATTTATTTTCCAGATAATATAATTGTTCTTCAAAATCTCTAGATAGTCTTGTGAACTTTAGTGATTAGATCCTCAGTTCAACCTGTATTATCAGCAGATCCTAAAGGAAAAGTTCTAGGGGATTTGCTTCAAATTCAACAGCAGCAAACTTGTACTTGACAAGTTTTTCCGAAGCTCTTCAATTTTGTCCGTTTGCTTTTTGATTGTAACTTTGGCCTGGGCATTTTCAACTTCAAGTTCATGTTCAATGGGAAACAATTAAAACATTATGTAAACATCCAGTAAATAAATTTTTACTATTTATTTTCCGGATAATATAATTGTTCTTCAAAATCTCTAGATAGTCTTGTAAGCTGTAGTGATTAGATCCTCAGTTCAACCTGTATTATCAGCAGATCCTAAAGGAAAAGTTCTAGGGGATTTGCTTCAAATTCAACAGCAGCAAACTTGACAAGTTTTTCCGAAGCTCTTCAATTTCGTCCATTTGCTTTTTGATTGTAACTTTTGTCTGGGCATTTTCAACTTCAAGTTTTTGCAAATGATCTTCCATTTTCTCAACCTGTCTTACGGCATCTGTATATCGATTGTATGCTCTTTGCAAGTGACTTTTGATTTGATCTAATTTCTTTAGATCCTCTCATCTTCTAAACTAAGATGATAACATGATACAACTTACAGTGAAGCCTATGACATAGACTTTTTTTTTCCGCCAGTTCTTCTTGAAGTTGTCTCACAGCTAACTTACTCAAATGATTTTTTTACAGTCAATTCCATGTTTAGTATTTTAACAGTGGCTTCAAGTTGTAGTTTCATTTCAACTTCCTGGGTATATTGCTCCTGTGTTCTTCGTAACTTCTCCCTAATTTTTTCATGCAACTTTTCAGTATGTCTTCTTTTTTCTTCTTCTTGTTTTGAAGCAACTCAACGTGCAGAGTTCATATTCCCATTTCACTTTTTGACGCTCTAACTGCAATTTTGTTTCTTTTTTTTCTGATGGCTCCTTTCGTAGCGTACTACCTTTTTTTCCCATTTTTTAAATTTTTCCCATAAGGGGCGCCTGGGTGGCTTAGTCGGTAAAGCGTCCGACTTTCGCTTAGGTCATTATCTCGTGGTTCGTGGGTTCGAGCCCCACGTCGGGCTCTGTGCTGACTGCCAGCTCAGAGCCTGGAGCCTGTTTCAGAGTCTGTGACTCCCTCTCTCTCTGACCCTCCCCTGCTCACGCTGTGTCCCTCTCTCTCTCTCCTAGAAATAAATAAAACATTAAAAATAATTTTTCCCATAAATAGTTTATAGTCACTTTTTTTAAGTTTTATGAAGCTTTGATATGAAAGAACTGCATCCTGGATTTTCGATAAGGCAACAGAATCTGTCCACGGACGAGGGAGTGCCCGCAGGCTGGTCCGCCAGAGCCTGGGGTGGGGCTCAGAGTTGGTAAAGACTGGACGATCCAGGCAGCAGTGGAGCCTGAGGAGACAGAGTCTGAGGCGACTAATGCGGCCCATCGCTGCCTTTTTAAATAAATTCAAACAGCCCAGGAGAGGCTCGCACAAATCATTCCTCTAAACCAGACGCCCTCAGGGGCACCTGGGTGGCTCAGTCAGTTGGGCATCCGACTTCAGCTCAGGTCATGATCTCACAGTTCGTGGATTCAAGCCCCGTGTCGGGCTCTGTGCCAACTGCCAGCTTGGAGCCTGGAGCCTCTTTCAGATTCTGTATCTCCCTCCCTCTCTGGCCCTCCCCTGCTCACGATGTCTCTAAGAAATAAATAAAATATTAAAAAAAAAAAAAAAAAACCAGACGCCCTCAGATGGACTGTGTGGTTTACTCAACAATATAGCCAGATTTCCCAAAGTAATGATAGGGCTGAGTGTCTAAGTGCACAGGCTGGCAGGCACTGCAGGTTCTCTGAGGGTCTAAATGAGAAGCCTTCCAGAACTGCAGAAATGTCAGCTCCAATGTCACCACAGTCTTCAGTTTATAAAATGAAACTGCCATTAGAACTCAGTGACCTGGAGCTTGCGTTGAAATCTTGGAAAACAGTTATCTTTACTCTCTATTCCGAAATTCAAGGCTCTGCAAAGTACATAAGATCTGTCCTCAACAGCAACCAGCACTAAACTGTGTGAATATACAGACATACTCCATAAGGATCTGAAAATAATTTTCAACCACATATAAACAAAATAGAAGAGAGTCCCTTTGTAAGAAACATATTCCAGCAAACCTTGCTAATAAAGACAACCAGAGAAAAGACTTTCTGTACTTCCTGTGGTGATAAAAGTCTTAATTAGAGCCCAAAGAAACAGGTACTCAAGAGAAATCAGAACAACAATCCTATGCTTTAACAATACATTAGAATTATCTGTGAAGATTTTTACAAACCCCAATGGCCAGGGCACCCACCAGATGAGTTACATCAGAATCTCTGGAGATGGGCCTTAAGCCTCATTTTTTTTCTTTTTTTTTTGCGGGGGGGGGATCATTATTTTTTCAAGCTCCCCAGGTGAAGTGGAGTATACACCAAGGTTGGAAACCTCTGAATTAGAGATTATTCTAAAGATATCTTCCTGGGGCGCCTGGGTGGCTTAGTCGGTTAAGTGTCCGACTTTCGCTTAGGTCATGATCTCGCGGTTTTTGGGTTCTTGCCCCGCTTCGGTCTCTGTGCTGACTGCCAGCTCAGAGCCTGGAGCCTGTTTTAGAGTCTGTGACTCCCTCTCTCTCTGACCCTCCCCTGCTCACGCTGTCTCTCTCTCTCTCCTAGAAATAAATAAAACATTAAAAAAATTAAAAAAAAAAAAAAAAAAAAGATATCTTCCAGACCGGAATGTTCATCTTTGCCAATGGTGGGTCCCTGATACAATGGGACCAGGAGTCTCTATCTAAAACCAACACTCCGCTATGATGGCGTACTGTACAAGCCACCACCCCCAACCCTGGGGAGGAACTCGAGGCCACACACACCCAGCCGCCCAATCTTAAAATAAAGCACAGAAGCCACCCACCCAGACGGCCTGCCTAGATGAAGAGGGTCAAGAGGACTTTAAGTCTGTTATTTTCACAGGAGACTTCCCTGGCAGTGACCAGAGAAGTTGTGGAGACACGGTACAACACGAATGGACATGCAGGCCACGCTGAGCCAGCATGACTGCATTACTGAAGAATGCAACTGTTTTCAGAATGACACAAAGCCACCTCAGGTGACTACTCTCTGAGGGAGAATCCACACCTTTTAGCAAAACACACACAGGGATTAAAAAAATAAGTACACTTCCTAGTTGTTGCTCCTCTGTTGAGAAAGCTGGAAAATTCACTGTCATACCCTCCAAATTTCCCCCAATTTCAATCTGGCTTGAGATAATTTTGCTTGCTTTTATTTGAAGGTAAACTTTCTGGCAGGAGGAGGCAGAGTGGAGATGTAAATAAATTCCACCAAAATCATTTTATATTTATTCAAAACATGTAAAGGCAAAATATTGCCCAAGAAATCTAAACAAAAAGAAAATAGAACATACGGCATATATTTTAAATAACAGTTTAAAGCATAAATTTAGAATGGCAGGAAAAAACTATTTAGAGACATTCAAAAATTAGTATCTTTCTACAAAATGTGGAATTTTTTTAGAGACCATTTTTATCCAAAAAAAAGGAAAAAGAAAAGGAATACCAACACTAACTCTAAGAGTGCTTAACTGCCTGGGTCTGAATCCAGGCTCTGATACTACATTGGGCATAGTGCCCTCAATCATGTCTCTGGGTCCCATCATGTCTCTCTGGGACCCATCTTACCTGGAAAACAAAAGTACTGAGTTGGACTACAGGGTTCAAATTCAGATCTGCATTTTAGCAATGTGAGTCAATTCAACCTCTGCACCTCTCTTCCTCCTCTGTAATACTAAAATATGAAGAGTACCTACCTGTGATCTGGAGAAATCCGAACCCTGGTGCACTACCAACAGAAATGTAAAATGGTGAGGCCACTGTAGAAAGTAGTATGGTGGTTCCTAAAAATATTAAACATAGAATTACCATATGAGCCAGCAATTCCACTTCTGGCTATATGCCCAAAAGAACTGAAAGTAAGATTTCAAACATATTTCTACACCCATTCACAAGGGTCAGAAGGTAGAAGCAACCCAAGAGTACATCAACATATAATTGAACAAAATGTAGCCCATGTGTACAATGGAATACAGCTCAGCCTTAATAAGGAAAGAAACTGAGACAGACTACAACATGGATGAATCCTGAGGACATTATGTTGAAATATGCCAGTCACAAAATGACACATACTGTATGATTCCACTCGTGTGAGGGCCCTAGAGTAGTCAAATTGATAGAAAGTAGAATGATGGTAGTCAGGGGCTTAGGGACATAGGAATCAAGAGTTAGTGTTTAATGGGGACAGAGTTTCAGTCTGAGGAAGACAAAAAGTTCTGAGAGGGATGGTGGTGATTGATGGTTTACACAACAATGTGGACTGTACTTAATGCCACTGAGCTGTACACTTAAGAATAGTTAAGACAGTCATTTTTATGTCTTGTACATTTTGCCACAATAAAAAAATAAAAGTAAATAAGAAAGAATAGTCCCTACCTTCTAGAGATGTTGTAAGGATTAAATATAAGTAAAGTGTTTAGAGAGTGCCCAGAGCAGAGTAAGCCCTCCATAAATATTACCTATGATCTTATTTTCCTGCCTTTGTAGCTCCCTTCGGTCCCCACTATTGTGTTCTGCAGAAATGGATGCTCACTGACTAGATTCTGATCCCCTCCTTGGAGCTGTATACCTCCTGCAATGAGACAGTTCCAGCCCAGGCCTTTCTTAAAATATAAATGCTGCTTCCCTGGGACAAAACTTTCACACATCGGATAAAGATGAAGAAACCACCTAACGTTCATAGTCTTGACACATAAAGCTGAGATGACCACACTTAAAAAAAAAAAAAAAAAAAAAGCAGATTTTAGGGTCGTCTTCATTCCCTAAATGGTTTGTCAGTAATTCTGCCTCAAAAATGGGTTCAAAGGCCAATGCTGTCATTTATGTCTTTCACTTTTTGTCACAACGAAGACTATTTTACTCCTTTGCTTGATCATTTAAAAAAACTATCAGTATGAAAACTTCCAAGTATACAAAAGTAGAGAGTTCAACTAGCCCACATATAACCAGTTTAATAATCAACATTAACCTTTTTCACTCTGCCAAAGACTCTGCATTCTCTCTTTAAAATATCAGAATAAAAAGCACCATAATCAGCTACACTGAAGTAATAATCACTGTCACTGTCATCACTACTTTCCGTTACTTTTAAAAGTTCTTTTCTGGCATCTTCTCACCTCCTTTTACTTTGCCCTTTGAAACTACAAATGATTTCAATATCTACCTTTTCAAGATTATTGTAAGGAAGTAGCATACATGAAAGCGCAGAGCTTGGAGTAGGACACATATTGGTTTCCTGAGAAATATCCGTTCTCCAAAACCACCATCTCCTCTTACTCCATGATGAGAGACACCCCCACATTTCCTTCACTATGCTTTGTCTCTTCCTTGGCCCTTTGTTTCCTAACACTGGTCCTGGTGCCTTCCTGTACCCCTGCCTCCTTCTAAACCAGGGATCCCAAACACAAATGAATAATCACAAATCCAATCACTAAGGAGATTATAAAGACAAATATAAAGACAATAAATAAAGACAAATAAAGAAAGTAAATAAAGTGAACTGAATAAAGACAATAAATAAAGACAAATAAAGAAAGTAAATAAAGTGAACTGATAAACATTTAGGGTACCAGTCCCTAAATTAAAAATAAAAAACATACCCAATTTGTGCTTATATATTATTATTTAACAAAAAAATCAGGCTAGACTTACAAATGCAAGTCATTCGTGTGTGTGTGTGTGTGTGTGTGTGTGTGTGTGTCTATATTTTAAACATTAAACTCTTTTTTGATGATCTAAGAAGTTTTAAATGTTGATGAAATTCATTTCCTTGCAGGACTTTTTGCCCATGGCAAACCTGCCACCTCTAATTTGTTTTAAAAGGGACTGCAATCACCCAATCAATCATACTCTTGACCTTCAGCCTTTACAGTCACTTCACTGTGGTCAAAATTGGCTCTAAAAATTCATGTTGTAATAGTGCTATGGTCCTCAAGCTCCAAAATGCCATGACAGTAATATAATTTGAGTAAATCCTCTGGTAGAAGAAAATAACAGTACATGGAGTTTCCAATTTGTCTTCTACCAGGATTCTTTAAATAAAAGTGAATGTCTATGATATTACTAAGTAATAACTTTTCCTCCGTGGTGGCTTAAAGACTTATAAATCCCCAAGTTTCTATGCAGTGAAACTAGTTTCTTCATCATAAAAATCACACGGCTTTCTTTTGGTTTTAAATAACTTATCTTTCTTTATGGGGAGGTACAGAATGACCAAGTAATAATCCTCCCAGTTCTTACCTCCCCATCTCCTAGCATACACTCAATCTTCACCTTATTAGTATCCATCTTTCCTGCTTGTACCCTATTTCAATGGAAAAAGCTTTCTTCTTGCCTAGGCCAAAGCATTATGCCTTACTAATTTCAGCTTACAAAAATGCTCAAGTTTCTTCCATGACAACAACAAGCAACCACAACCCAATCCAGCTACAAGTCCTCTCCGGCGTTGTCTCTCTATTTCTTAAGAAGATACTGAGGCTTAAACATTAAGCCCATACCATCTTCATTTCCTCAACCTAATGAACTGTAGGTTCTATGTCCCATTGCACTGGAAACATTTTCAATAGTGTCTCCAATGGCCTTCCAGTTACTCAATCCAATAGTTACTTTTCAGTGCTCACTTGAAGTCTCTGTAGCATTACTGGTCACATCCTCTTCCAAAACATGCCTTCCCTCACTTTTTTGGCCTTTCTCCTGATTCTCCTCCTACCACTTTGAACACTCCTACTCAATCTCCTTCAAGGACTCATATCCACCAATCATCCCTATCAGTCTATGACCACATCTTTGGCCTTGTTCTCTTCTACCTCTACTACATACCCTTTCTTGGTCCCTTTTGAATATCACTGACATCAGTTACCAATTATGCACCAAGTTCTTCAGATTTCTGTATTTCCATCTCTGGTTTCCTTCATGAGCTCCAGTTTACACATGCAGGACTTCTCCACCTGGGTGTTGCAGAGGCACCTTAAACTCAACACATCCAAAATCTAATATGAGCTCATTTATTTACTACATGGGTGAATGCTACCAACCACCACCTGATTACTCAATCCAGAAAACCGGAAGGCATCTTTTAGTTCTTTCCCTTTATTCCTGATATTCAGGCAGTCACTGGGCTTTTAAAACTCCAATCTCTAGGATTTGTGATTTTCCCTCCATCTCCTCCACTACTGATAGTTCAGGTCTTCATCATTTCTCACCTACATAACCAAAATACAAAAGTGCAGTTCTCTGTCTCCAATCAACACATGTGGCTCTGACCAGCTCTCCAGGATACTGTCAAAGTGATCTAAAATATAAGTCTCATAAGGTCACTCTTCTAAAACTTTTCCAAAAATCTAAAGTTTTTTATCTTCATAACTTATTTCCTTCATAATTTATCTTCTGAATATCTGACCTACCCCACATGTTGCCATCAACTACCTCTTCCAGAACATCAGCCAGACAGAAGTATGTGTCCATGCAAACACAGCTCCCTCATCCAAGGGAAGCTCTTCTACTCTCTGCCTGGTTAACTCTTGCACGTTCTGAGAACCCCGTTGTGAAAAGCTATGACTAGACCTTTCCAGGTTAAGTAACCCTCCATTCTGCAGCCACGGCACTGTGTGCCTACCCAGCACACTGATCACCCAGATCACTGGTTTTTGTCATACTTGTTGACTTGATCTTTCACAATAAACTAAGCACTCTTTGGAAAAAGGAAATGCATCTTACTAGGTTTGTATGTTCAACTACTACATATTTGCAAAATTAATGAATGACTACTCATTCATAAGCCTTATTTTTCACCAAACAAATTTTTCAAAATGTAATTCTAACGATAAAAGGCCCACTAAGTATCAGTACAACAAAAGAAAGGACTTTTTTTTAATGAGAGATCTCATACTTCATTTTCTAACAAACTATAAAAGTCCAAGGGTTTTTTCCTCAAATTGAATGGTATGGGAAGCTAGAACCACCAGTGACCACCTTCACTGACCCCCTACCTGTAGCACACTGCCTTCAGGGAAGCACTTAATGCAGCATTGGCTTTTGAAATAAAGATTAGAAGATGGTCAATTGGTTCAAAAGCAACATCCCACTAAAATTCCAAAGATAAAAGAAAGAATCAAGGTTAAGCAGCAGCTTCTTATACTAGATAAAACCATGTTCCTTGTATCAGATCACATTATCAAGAATGAACTTACCAAAATAACTAGGCACTTGGCAGAGAAATACTTATCAAGCTCCTTTCCCAACGGTGAATTCACACCACACCGTGAAAGTTTCTATACCCGTTTCTGGAATGTAAAAAAGCAAGAAGGATACAGATAGATTCTTATATATTGCATATGCTCTTGAGGAGACATGTGGAAAGAAATGTTCCATGTAAGACTAGCTCAGTGCTTCCATTCCAGAATTGCTTTAATCCACCCACAGAGGATGAAAGGGGATATCACCAACTAAGCTGGATCTCATTAACCAATCACAGGTGACCAAAACAAGAGTATGTCAGCCTGAAGTTTTTGTCATCCAAGGAGACAAAATGGAACTACATTCAACATGAGCAACATTCTGCTTGAAAAACTCCAATTTCAGAGCACCTGGGTGGCTCACTCATTTAAGTGTCTGACTCTTGATTTCGGCTCAGGTTATGAATCATAGGTTCAAGCTCCACATTGGGCTCTGCACTGAGTATGGAGCCTGCTTGAGATTCTTTCTCTCCTTCTCTCTCTCTGGCCCTCCTCCACTCATGCCTTTTCTCTGTCTCACTCAAAATAAACTTAAGAAAATAAAAAGAAAA